TGGGTTGGATGCTTGAAGTTAGTATCATGGACACTTTTGTTCCTCCATCCCCAAATGAACCAACAAGAGATAAAAAAGACATCACGCCAATCATCTGAATTACTTTGATTCCAAGCTTTTGAGATATTATTTTCAACCCAATCTCTAAGATCCAAGCTGTAGAATAAGCTTTGCCGATTAGCTGAAACCAGAGAATTCCAAACACTTCTAGCATGCTTACAATCTCTTAGAACATGGAGGTTTGTTTCCAACTCACCAGGACATATTTTACAATGACCAGATTCCCCACTCCATCTAGATGTGCGGTCTTTAGTAAGAAGGCGACCATGCATTATGATCCACATACAAGATTTAACACGATGAGGCCCATGCCATTTCCATATGGTAGTCCAAGAATTTTTCAACGGCATGAGAGGGAAACCAAACATGTTATAATACGCGGTTTTAATTAAAGAGCAGCCAACCTTTTGATTTCTCCAAATAATGCGGTCATTTCCATCCGATGCGCTAGGAATGAGAGCAGCTTGGATCCTTGCAACAGCTTGATCATTGAGATATTGACGAATATAGGGAAAGTTCCATTGACCAGTATTGCTGTTCACGAAGGCACTAACAGGGAGATTCAACTCCAAACCAGTTGGAGTACGAGTAGCCAGAGAGGCAAGACACTCAGTTAAACCCAACCAATTGTCTGTCCAAAATAATGCATCATTACCGTCTCCAATCTCCCATTGCATTGCTTGAAGAAAAGAAGGCCAAACACTACACAGATTTTTCCAGAAGTATGAGTCATATGCTTTATGATTTACTTCCCTCCGAAGATCCAAACCTCTCTTATATTTACTTGTTACAACTCGAACCCACAACGAATCGGGCGAAGTAAGTATCATCCATGCAAGCTTGTGAAAGAAAGCCATATTTTGGACACGAAGGTTAATCACCCCTAAGCCACCCATGCTCTTAGGCTTGCAAATATTATCCCATGCAACCAGATGAGATCTCCTTTGACCATTTTTATCACCCCAGATAAAGGCACGTTGCAACTTCTCTATTTCATCACAAATGGCTACAGGAAGCAGACTGTGTTGCATTTGAAATATAGGAGTTGCTGAAATAACGGAGTTGGAAAGTGTAATTCGACCGGCAAAAGATAAGACTTGGTTACTCCAACCAGATAACTTGTGCCTAATTCTTGCAACAACATCAGCATAATGGTCTTTGGTTACTCGACCATGTTTCATCATGGACCCAAGATATCTCCCTATATTGTGAGTTTGCTTGAAGCCACACACATTTGTGATATCATCTGCAATGTGAGCATCTGTATTTTTCGAGAAAAAAATACTAGATTTCGGAATACTAACCTTTAGGCCAGACATTGAACTAAAAGTCTCCAAGCAATCCACTATAACTTTGATTTGATCTAGAGAAGCTTCTGCAAACAACATCAAATCATCAGCAAACATCAGATGGGCTATCTTAGGACCTTTTGATCCCACGGAGATTGGCTTCCATCTCTTATTGTCAACCGCATCTTGAATGAGATGAGACAATTTTTCCATGGCTAGAACAAAAATGTAGGGAGATAAAGGATCACCCTGACGAACTCCTCTTGAAGGAAGGAAGTCACCTGCAATGGCTCCATTCCAAAGCACTGAGACCTTATCAGAGTTGATACAATTCATGATAATACTTGTGAACCAGTGTGGGATTTGAATTTCATCCAAAGTTTTACGAACAAACTCCCAATTTAACATATCATAAGCCTTTTCCAAGTCGATTTTAATTGCCATGAAACATTTTCTTCCTCTCATTCTACGCATTGAATGGATCAGCTCTTGGGTGATGATGATGTTGTCCTGGATATGACGTTTAGGAACAAAACTAGCTTGGAAGGGAGACACCATCTCTTCCATTAGGGGCTTCATTCTGTTAACCAGAATTTTACTGAGGATTTTATAAATGACATTGCACAAAGAGATTGGTCTGAGCTGCTTAGCACTTTCAGGTCTCTTTACTTTTGGAATGAGGACCAGAAGAGTCGAGTTCACAAGGTGAATCAGATTGGGATTCTGAAACATCATGTTAACATCCTTAATAACATTAGTCTTAATAAGACTCCAATTCTTATGAAAAAAGGCAGCTGGAAAACCATCTTCCCCTGAAGCTTTTGACCCATTGATACTAAAAACAACTTTTGAAATTTCGTCATCCGGAAGATTACGAGTCAGATTAAATAGCAGATCATCGTGCAGAAGGGGCCAAGTAGTCTTTGATTTCACCCAATCACGATTAAGGACTTCCTCACTAAACAAGTTGCTATAGAAATCTGTTACCAATTGATGAAGTTGTCTAGCTTCCTTCACCCAAATCCCATCAGAATTTTTTAACTTAAGAATCCTATTCGAACTTCTTCGAGTAGCTGTTTTAATGTGATAGAATTTGGTGTTTCTATCCCCATCATTTATCCATTTCACCCTGGCTTTTTGAAACCATAAGATCTCTTCTTGTATGAGAACCGCATCAAGGTCCTTCCTAACCTCCTTTTCTCTAGATTGGAGAGATAAGTTGGTATGATAATCAACATGATTCTGAATTTCTGCAATACTATGCAATAGGTTAGTCTTCCTATTGAAAATGTTGCCAAAGACTATCTTGTTCCATCTTTTTAAATTTGGAGTCAGATCATGCAGATTCGTTCTAGTGTCTTTCACAACATTCCAGCTCCTAGCCAGAAACTGAGTAAAGTTATAATGCTCCATCCAAGCAATCTCAAAGCGAAAGGGACGATTTTTCCAACCTGTGTCCAAGTTAGACAAGTAGACCAAAATGGGACTATGATCAGAATAAATCCGTGGAAGTACCTTAACGCCAACATCAGTAAAGGTAGTCATCCAACTTGCATTAGCACAGGCTCGGTCCAGCCTCTTAAAAACACGATCAAGATGAAGAAACTTCGGACCCTTCCATGTAAACCAAGGACCTGATCCTCCAAGATCCAGCAGCTTGCAATTATGAAGAACATTTGCAAAATTGGAACATCTGTTTAAGTTAACTCTACAGCCACCTTTCTTCTCATCCCGATTTGCTATTTCATTAAAATCCTCAGCCACCAACCACGACCCATTACAATGGAGACTAATGTTTAGCAGATCATCCCATAGCTCCTTTCTATTTTCTTCCCTAGGACTCGCATAAACTGTCGTGCAAGAAAAGGAAGGAACATGAAAATTCTGAACTTTAAAATGAACAAACTGTTTTGTGTGATTAACAATTTCAACGAGACCAGTCTCATCATTCCAGAGGATCCAAATACCCCCTGAGTAACCCTCTGCCTCTTGAACAAAAGCATGCTTAAACCCAGATTTTCGGATAATGTCAGAAGCTTTTTGACCACTAAACCGAGGTTCTAGAATCACTACAATACTAGGCTTATATTCCCTAGTAAACAGAAAAAGCGATTTTTGAAACTGGGGTTTCACTGCTCCCCTACAGTTCCAGAAGAATAAATTCATTAAAAACTATGTTGAACGCAAGACTCCAAGGTTCTTGCATCCTTCATTCTTGAAATATCTTCCTGGTGAACTCTGTCCACCTCCATGCACGTAAAGATGGTTGAGGTTTTAGGATTTTGGATGTCGCTGCTGTTGTCAACTGATATATCAGGACCAGTTTTATGAAATGTGTCATATAACTGCTCTTGATTCTGGTTCAAAGTGCTATCTGCTTTCATCCCATTTTCCTGATCATGTTGATTTGCTTGCATAGGACTAACCGCCATGGGAGTAGCAATTGATGGAGATGGTGGAACGGGAGTATGATCTTCACGATTTTCACTCTGGACTGAACACCTCTTACCCGTGCTTGAAGAATGAGCCGCATGCATAAATTTCCACGATTTTTCTAATTTTGAATCTTTTAAAATTTAAACAATAGCACGATATGTTAATTAATCAGCAAAAAAAAAAAAATCAGAATCATAATATAAGAATAGTAATGTTTCATGATTAACACTAATAACTCGATAAATTATGATTTATGTACTGTTTCATTCACCAATTTAAATGGTCTGAAGTATTTGAATTCTTTTTTATTTTGAAGATAAAATTCTTCACATATGACAATTTTGTTTGAGTTGTGAACATTCATATCATAATGGAGCTAATTCACTCGAAGCATATTTTTTTTTTTGCATTAAGGCTTGGATTCTTTATACGAGAAATTAATAAATTTAATTTTTTTTTTTTTTTGAATTCGGAGTAATCTCCAAAAGATCCTGTGTGACAAATGAATATTGTTTATGGTTTTTATTATTATTTGACTCATTAAATATAATAATATTTCATTAATTATAAATTTATCACTAGATATTAATTATCATTTATGATATTAATTAATATTGGTAGGGAATATGAGCGAAAAGGATAGAAAATTTAGAACGGACAACAACAAAATTGAAGTAAAATAAATGCGTTAAAAGTTTTACAGAAGGTGTAATTCACAATTTATTTTAAAAAAATTATGGAGAAAAGAATGTCTGATGTAGTGTCATTTCAAAAATAATAATTTCCCCTGTATCTATTACTAGCATAATTTTGGAATTGGTTATCAAGTATCATGCAAGCACTAAAACATTAAATGACAATTGGTTATCAATTATAAATTATAACTCGCATTTTTTTTTCCTTTTCTTTAACAAGAAGGAAAAAGAAAATTCACTAAAACAGAAGAGGAAAAAAAAGAGAGAGAGAGAGAGAGAAAAAGGAAAAGTTCATGTTGAAAATAACTCACAAGCAACGAGTGCAGAAGTTAGTCATGCGCTTGCGCCTTAACATTAAATTTCCTCTGTTCAGTGTTCACTGTTCACTGTTGTTCCCATTTTCCTTCTGCAGGGAAAACACATAAGGACAGCTACAGAAAAAAATAGAGAGACAAGAGAGTGTGCTCAAAGAAGATTCAAAAGATAGCATAAAAGATTTTTTTTTTTTTTTTTTGAAAAACAAAAAAGCTGTTCAATCCTTGAAGATCCAAAACACCCATTAACTTCCAAAGGCTTCGCGATTCACGAACACACTCTCTCTTTGTCTGCTTGTGCGGGTGTTCCTTCTCAAGCATCTCCTCCACATATCTATATCTCCATGTATTCATTCTTATTTTCCTAGCGACACAGAATAAACAATGAAAATGAAGCTTCTTCTTATGTCTCTCTTGCTTCTTATTCTTCACGAACCCATTTGGGTTCACGGGGTTCCTGTTTCCTCACCTCAAATTATACCCATTACTCCACTTTCCACCTCCATGCCTGCTATCTCCCCAGGTACTCATTCATCTCTCTCTCTCTCTCTCTCTCTCTCTCTCTCTCTCTCTCTCTCTCTCTCTCTCTCTCCCCTGTTCATTGTCTCAAGCGCTACCTGTTTCTTCAGATGGCGTTGAGTTTCAACAGTTTCAAATTTAAATTTCAAATATCCAGCTGCACTTAATGCCAATGATAACATGTAACTTCATGTTGATATATGATTACCCATCTTACTCTCTTTTATTTCTTATCATCTGGATCCTACGCATTTGCTGAATATCTATTAAATTGCTAATTTGCTATAAACGCTCCTTGTTATCAGGTACTCAGGTGGGGGAGGAGCACCACCAAAAAGATTCGGACAAGAAAGTGATAATAGCTGTCGTTGTAGCCAGCACTGTACTTGGTGGAGTCATTTTGAGTTTTTTATGCTTCTGGTTTTGTCATAGCAAGTATCGGTCAAAATCGAATAGGAAAAATGTTCAAAGCTCAGGTATTTATTTATTTTGCACAATTCCTTTTCTCGGATTCATGTTTTTTGCTTTTCAAGAAACTTAAATATCAAATTGCTTCCTTGGTATTGTCTTGAGACTTTTTTTTTTTTTTTTTTTCCTTGTGTCGTTTTTGAATGCCAAGATGCAGAAAAGGGGTTGACTGTAGCAAGATATTTGAGTGAATTCAGTTCCATCAAGATAGTTGGTATGAAGGGGTCTGTTCCAATAATTGATTATAAGCAAATAGAAAAAACGACCAATAATTTTCATGAAAGTAACATCTTGGGTGAGGGTGGTTTTGGATGTGTTTACAAGGCTCGATTGGATGATAATTTGGATGTTGCCATCAAGAAACTACACTGTGAAAGTCAGAATGCTGGGAGAGAATTTGAGGTAATGCCGGCTAACGCTGCTTTTCCTCTGTTTTAATAATTTGTTTCCTTTCTATCTTGTATTGAATAGTCAGATGAATTTGCAGAACGAGCTGGATTTGTTAAGTAAAATTCAGCATCCAAATATTATATCTTTACTGGGTTGTAGCATTACTGACGATACGAGGTCTATTGTTTATGAGTTGATGCAAAATGGATCCTTGGACGCTCAGTTACATGGTAAAAATTTGCATCTTATGCTTTATTTACGTAGAGTAGATGACACTTTTCTCAATTATAAAATTATATTAATTTCATTCTTTTACAAAATTTTGTTTATGTTGAAGGACCCTCTCATGGCTCGGCATTGACTTGGCATATGAGGATGAAGATTGCTCTTGACACAGCAAGGTGATCTTCCTTAATAAGTTTTGGAACTTTCTGTTTTGCTCTGTGCATGCCATGTATATTAACATACTTCTGTTAATGCTGATCAGAGGATTAGAATATCTGCATGAGCACTGTCACCCTGCGGTGATCCATAGAGATATGAAATCTTCTAATATCCTTTTAGATGCAAACTTCAATGCCAAGGTAAATTTTTTTGTTGGAATTGATATAAAAATGATTTCCCCTTCTATTGTACATTGTTTTTCATCATTTATTGTATTCAGCAAAGCTTATCTTATGTTGGCAATCACTTAATTGTTGTTGGTCAGCTGTCTGATTTTGGTCTTGCTATCACTGATGGGTCCCAAAGCAAGAAGAACATTAAGCTTTCAGGCACCTTGGGGTACTTAGCCCCGGAGTATCTTTTGGATGGTACGCCAAATAAACTTGTTATCCTTTCACGGCATATGCATTGGTCTGGCAGGTTGCTATAATTTTAATGTTGTGTTAAGCTTTTAAAAAACCAGATCCAACATATTGTTTGTTTTGGACCCCTGTTGAATTCAATGACTTCATATGAGTTTAGGGTGGGTTTGAAACATACAATTTGTGCATCTTGTTCTCATCCTGGGCATATATCTTGACTTTTTATGGGTTTGACATGTCATCTAGATTATTTAAATTGACCATATTGTGAGCAACATGTTACTATCTCATAAGCCTAGTTTGCTCCGGTTGCTTCTTGTCATTGACAAAAACTAGTACCGGCCCCCCAAAATAAAAAATGAACCATTAATATCGGGAGGATGGGAACTAAAATTTGAGCTCAGCTGAAGGTAGATGGTAATTGATTGTTGTCTGGAAAGTGGGAACATTGGGAGGTTTTACTCTGGGGCGAATGCCTGTAAGCTTTCTAATTCAGTTGAAAACTTGAGATAATTTGGTGGTGGCTCTAATATGTTTAATTGTTGAGAGGGATTCTTTTTACTTTAATTCGATATTATTCCTTGAGATATAGATGAAATGGATTATGGATCACTTCTCCAATGATTTTTTAATATTATGGAGAAATGGCTTGGATCCATAGGTGAGCATAATTCATGTAACAAAGTGAAACTCAAAAACTTAATAGAATTATTTATTGAGGAGAATGCAATTTAATTATTTTACAGGCAAATTGACCGATAAAAGTGATGTCTATGCTTTTGGGGTTGTGCTCCTGGAGCTACTCTTAGGAAGAAAGCCTGTGGAAAAAAAGGCACCAGCTCAGTGCCAATCTATAGTCACATGGGTACGAGCTTCTATTAATTCCATGAAATCAAATTCAATCGGGTTGTATCACCAAGTTTGGAAGATAACATAACTGTTTTTTATTGCAGGCCATGCCGCAGCTCACAGACAGATCCAAGCTCCCAAACATTGTGGATCCAGTGATTAAGAATACAATGGATCTCAAGCACTTATATCAGGTTTGTGAATCCTGGAAGCCACAACTCACATATTTCACATTTTTAAACTTAAGTGTTTTTTGCAATAATACTGCTAGTACTAGGTTCCTTCTGGAACTATGTATATGCACTGTCTCTTCAATTTATTGGGCTTTGTATTTTGTAGGTTGCTGCTGTAGCAGTGCTGTGCGTGCAACCAGAACCAAGTTACCGTCCCCTGATCACAGATGTTCTTCATTCACTTATCCCCCTTGTTCCCATTGAGCTTGGAGGAACGCTCAGAGCTTCACAAGTGACACAGCAGGTCACTCCTGCTGATCCACCAGTGAATTCCAGTCATCGTTAGAAACTATCAATCAGATACATGCTAAACGGTGAGAATACAATTGTGTTTTACCAAAGACTCCAAATTAGACACAGCCATGTCAACCTCACTGTTTATGTATTACACGCAATTTAATAGTTCTGCCTTGAAATATAAAGATTCGTTCATTCGGAAAGATATTTGGCTTAAAAGGGTGAGAGGAGCTTTGAATTGTTTAGTAACAAATGTAAAGAACAAATAAATTTCACTTTTGTTTGGGGGGGGGGGGGGGGGGGGGTTTTTGTATAGAATGTTGAGTTTGTATAACATTGGGATATGATTTTGTCTTCCATTCCCTATTTTGGGGGTATGAAATTCAATAATTGAAGCAAAAGGCTAGGCTCGCTAACTTAACTGCGGCTCTTCACTTTCTCTCTCTAAATATCCCCTCACACATGTCTCTAAATATCCCCTCACACATGGAAGGAGGTATCTTCTTCTTCATTCTACTCTTATGCTGTTACTTTGCCTCTATGGAGAGTCATCCTAATAATCCACACACACATTCCCCTTTATGCACACCATGTGAAACCTCTACTATGCTTTGGTATCTATGATTGACGCTATGAGCACTTCTGTATTAACATATTTCACTCTTATGGGACATATCTATGTACCTCAACGGTACACTTCCCATGCGGACGTTCCTGCTCATCACATGACAGACAAATTAGGGAACTGCATCAAAGGAAATTATAGACAATAAAATAAATAAAGGAGTTCTAACATGGTAAATTGCCCAGAGGTAAAACAGATGACAAAGAGATTCATCAACTCTGTTAGAAAACAGCATTTATGATCCATGTGAATTTAATTGGGTTGACAAATAAGGACAGCGAGTATATAGTGCGACTATCGATTGATGCCTCTATATCCCTCTTTGCACTATATATATATATATATATATATATATATTTTTTTTTTTTTTTGGTATCCTTCTCTTTGCACTATTTAACTGAAATGATCTCTCTCTCTCTTGGCTCTTTATTTTTTGATTCAATCTGCCAAACCAAGAAATTTTTAGCTTTTAATCTTGTGTACAAATTATTTTATGTTCTAATTACGTACTCATCAATATTCAATAACAATACATGACACGTAGGGCTGCACAAAAAAACCGGTTCACTTGACCAGTCATTGATCTGACGTTGACTTGACTCATAAATACCCATTTATTTTGAATGGAATTTAATACTGACATACTTTTAAGTGGGTCAGTTTTTGACTTGACCTATTTAATAAATAACCCTTTGACCCAAAACTTGACCCAACCCACTGTGTGAAAAAAAAACCTAGAAATCACGTTAAGACAAATTGGGATTAGGTTCTCTGACTTCTTTCGGTTCCTCAAATACAATGCTTCGTGCGCCGACGTAAACACCTTCTCCCCGTCGCTCGCCGCAGCCGCCGCCGGAATCTTTTTTCCAGCGCGAACCTGCTAGTGAGGCCTTAAGCTTTTCAAGAACCACACTGCTCTTTTGAACTCTCCCCTTTCACTCCCTTCTTCTTCGTCGAATCGGAGGACCCTAACGACGACGATGGCGTCAACAACACCAACGACGACGACTCCTTTCTGTCAACATCATATCGCATATATAGGTAGGTATTTGGAACCCCTTTTGTTTCTTCTCAATTCCCCTTTATCACATTCCAGGATTTTCTTTTTTCTTTTTCCAATTGGGGATTCTGAATTTTGGTCCATTCACTTTCATGATTTCTTCAATTAATGGCTATAGTCTTTCTTGAATTTGTTTTGTTTACAGATTTGATTATTCACTGTGAGGTTTTATTATTGTCAATTCATTAAGGGCGATCGGTTTTTCTTGTGGGGATCATTGTAGTTTAATCTTCTTTAACTTCTTGCTCTGTACACTGCATGTTTATCTCAAACTTTTGAAGTGCTTCTGTCTGGTCCAAATTATGCTTACTTTGGCATTTAAGATAATATAAATTTAATTAAGATGATATAAATTTCATTAATTTAAATTGCAGTTCATATAAATTTTTTTAAAAAAATGTTTTTTAGCATTTAAGATTTTTTGATAAAATATGGTATTTGGATTTTAAAGTTAAATAACTTTTTTTGTTAAAAAATTTACATTCCTTTATTTATTCATCAAATATTAAATTTATTATATAATTTATATATCTTAAAATAATTAATTAATTAAATTACATGAGTTTGAAAATTAAATCAATAATTATAAAAATAAAAAAAATAAGTTTTGAAACCAAGTCAAAAGTGAGTCAGGTCGGATTTAACCCAATTTTGAAACCAAGTCAAATCCACTTTAAAAACCAAGTCAGGTCAGTTCTGATCCAGTTCAAAAAATATTCAATTCGGATCAAACCTGACTTGGATTAAATAAACTGGGTCGGGTCAAAATACCTGACCCATAAAACCAAGTCGGGTCGGCACAAAAATCCGCCCCGACCCACCCCATGCACAGCCATAATGACACGGGTTAAAGAACAGTTTATGTCAATAAAAGTAATCCGATCATTTTCGGAAGTAAAGTTAATAAAAGAAAACTAGTAACGAGCAACTGAAAAACATGCAAACAACACAATTACTGTTAGCATGCTTTTTCAACCTTGCCAGCGTGAAATGGAAAAGAGACTCCTTGTGTATCAATTCATATAATTTCGACACCTAAAATTGACACTGGATGGGTTGTCGATAGAATGATGATAGACCGGATCAAGAGCAGTTATTTTTTGATCTGCAGCTCTTGCTTTCTCATCTAATGGTTGAAATTTTTTATAGCACATTTACTTTTAAAGTTTTTATCATAAAACAAATTTTTTCAAAGGTTCCGATGACATATAATAACTTTTTGTTCCCATATATATATACTAACTTTTGGTACATCTAAAATTTGCATTTTTGTTTTGTATCTTTATTTTTCAAAATTGAGCACTTCTGAACCCATGTCATATCATATTATTCATATATCCCTTAGACGTTGATGTGTCGAAAAGGCCGCCAACTAAGCTTTTCTTTGTTTAATATCATTCACGTAAATATACTGAGGCTGCTCCATTTGGATTAACTTTTTTTCTTTCAAAAATTATTCTTTTTTTTTTAAAAATAATTCTCAGAAAAAGCCTTTTTAGATGCCTGTTTTTTAAAAAAACAAGTAAAAAAATATATTAAAAACTTACTTTTTTTTAAAGCTACAAATTTTAACTTCTAAAAAAAGTACAAATCAACAACTAAATATTTTTTTCAAAAGTCAAATAATTTTTAAAAACCTAAATAACTTTAATTTTTGTAAAAAAATACTTTTAAAATAAGTAAGACATAAAAAATACTTTTTTTTAAAAAAAAATCATCCAAACGAGCCTTAAATTCTAAAGAGGAACAAGAAGAAATTAAAGAATGTCTACTATCGGAAAATATTCAACATGAAGTTTGAGCAGTTCAGGGCTTCTCAAGATAGTGTTTAACGACAAATCGAAATAAATCGAAATTCATTATTATCCAATTGTTGATCAAGACAGAATTTACACCCAGACATTCGTTGCCCCGATCAAAATGAATAATAGATTCTCCACTCTAAATATAAAGTTTTAGCATTTGGTCATGATATTAACACAAGCATTTCGTTCCAACTACTCCATACTACCTATACTTAATTGCTAAAACGATTCCTTCACCTTTCCGAAAAGGAATATAATGCAACGTCAATCCTTTAGGCATGTCCATAATTAACAGAAATAAGAAACGATAATTTACCACACCTTCCCGCAGTCTCTGGTGCTGACAAAATGACACTAGTGGCTCCAATTTGTCATGCATACAGAACAAGATTCTAAAAACTGAATCACGTAGTTATCCTAAATATTGAGAGTAATGGATTCGATCCACATTGTTAAGCTTTCTAAAGATCAAACATGAAACACCTCATGTATTTGCTTTTGGTAAAGATTATCACGCAATAATTCGAGGATACGCGTTCTATAACTTGAAACAAAATTAACCCATAGCAAATTGGGTGAACTGATTTGGATCGTTAGGTTGAACACAGTTTTCCTAAATACGTTCCTCACAGTACATTTTAAACGGATGTTCTACACGGCCACTAAGAAAGTAGTACAAAAATTCCAGTTCTAGTAAAAAAAAAAAAGCAAAAATATTTATTTATGGGTTTGATGTTTGTCATTTTAAATGACATAAGTTATGTCATTTTAAGAGAGAGATAGACACAGAAAAACAGAAATCATGGAAGAGAGAAAGTGAGTGATTTTTTTAATTTAAAATTTAAATTTTATGTGTCTATATCTCTCTTAAAATGACATAACTTTCTGTCATTTAAAATGACAAACATTTTTCCCTTTATTTAATGGGGTTTTAGTTTGTTCTTTAACATGACAAGAAAAAATTTCCTACGCACAATATTTTGTGAGGCCCGCACTTTTTAAAGCAAAAAAAAAAAATAAAAAACTTAGGCACGCAAAACGAATCTCTATAACATTACACAATCACTTTTCCTACAAAATAACTCTTATAAAACCCTTATTTAATACCCCATAATTCTAACAACTTTGGGAGCAGTACTCATACTGGCAACTATGATCAAGGACTATGCTATCAACCGCTATTGACTTCAGAGATACCCTTTGAAACATTATTTTTCAAATAAAAAAAGTTCAGTCAATCGGTTTTACCTTGGACAATAAGTAACCTCAGCAATAGCTATATAAGTTCCAACAAAGCCAACATCCAGTCATAAAATTGTAATTCAGATTGTAGGAGCAAACATGTCTATTACTTATCGCCAACCCAAGGATAAATGACAGGATATGCTACCTGCCAAAACAATGCACAAGTATGCCACAAACCAGTCGTTCTATGGATCTTTCAGTTAGCAAATGTAGGAAAAATCCAAATGGATTTGTCAGTTAACATCTAACAGTTTTAGATTGAAGGGAAACCAACCAAGTTCGCCTCTAACCCAAAAACCATTCATATAAAGTCCATACATTGAATTGTAAGGCGTCAGACCAAAAGATTAAAACCAAGAACAATTATTAGTGACAAATATCCTGGAGTTCAACGCCAATTGAACAAGAAAACAAAATCCCATTTTTGCACAACTAAAAAACAAACACAAAACAACAGTCAATTGCGACAACAATCATCACAATTCACAAATCAAACTATGAAATGACAGAACCTAGTCAAATATATGTAACCTGAGAAGGGAGGAAAATATTGCTAGCATCCAAGTAGAAATCGAGATCTTTCATTTTAAGAACAGTCAACGGAATATGGTAAAGGAAAGCCACAACTAGAATGCATTGGGGAAAAACAAAATGTTGAGAAAGATGAAAAACATCACCGCATCCCAGGGGACATAAAACATCGGTGACCTACCCGCTGAAGGTTAAAACAAAACAACAATCTCTCCTACGATGAATAAGAAACACAACACAAAACGAATATCTATTGTGACAAGCACAGAAGTGGTGACAGTTTATCAACGATCATTCAAAGCAACAAAAAATATAATCATTAATAATTCATGATCCGAAGAATTCCAATTACTTTACCGTCAGTGAACTACAATAAAATCCTGACAAACTGATCTTAGAAAAGATGCAAAAGCATTACAGCTCCAAAACATTGTTTTTGCCGCAGAAGAAAAGAAAAGACACTAATTAATTTAATAAACCGAAACGAATTAAGGGTAAAACATTGGCAGAGCAAGCACCTCAGAATCCAAGCTTGGTACGACGCCAGTGGCGGCGCTTAGCGTTGTACCTGAAAGGGAAAGAGAAGCGTTAGCGAGAGAAGAGAAACGCACTGAAATCGTGAGCATAAACAATAGAAAGAGATATACATACCTAATGGTGTTATCGGTCCTCATCCTAATCCAATAAGGGATGGGCCTGTTCTGCCTCATCTTCTTCGCCAACTTCTTCTTGATTCTGAAGGTCTTGTGTGACGGCTGCAAACAACAACAACTCAATCAACCCACCCCCAAACCAGAAATCAAATACCAAAACCACAACAGAATCTTAATCACTGCAATTACAATGTGAAGATTCAAGAAATTCATTTTAGTTGATGAATACCATTTTCGCTTTGTCTACGGATGCCCTTCTACTGCACCGAGTATGGAACAGAGACCGCTCAGCGAAAACCCTAACTACGAACGAAACCCTAGTAGCTAACTCCCCTCTTTTTATATGTATATGTATTATTATTAGAAAAAACCAAAATTATTTGGCTTGGGATTCACTAATTGGGTCATTGTTTGGTAATCAATTATTTACAATAAATAAATAATTTATTTTCTAAATTAAATTAATTTGAAAATTACATTAAAATTTATTTTAATAATAAAAAATATTTTATGAACAAAAAAATTTCTAAAGTATTTTTTTAAACAACATCAATAAGGTAATAATCTCTCTCACACTCACATTATAAATATTCTACATTCATAAAAGAATTGAGAAACACTAATGTCGCTGGGTGATTTTATTTCATATTTTAAAGAGTATTGATGCATGACTTTAAATATTAAAATTATTGATTATTAAACACATTAGTTTCAACATAATTTCCCTTTAACATGTATGGCTTTGCAAATATGCTCGTAAATCAATGAATATCTCCAAGACTGCAAGATACACGAGGGAAATGGAATGACATGTTCTGTATTATTAAGATTGCAGGTTTACATTTTTATAAAAAAAAATTGCATTTTTTCATATTTCAGAATATATATTTTTATGATAAGCAGAATAATTTAGTATTACTGTCCAATTAAAACCTTTAAACAATGCATAAAATAAAGTTTAAACCCATCCTATTAGATAATGTAGTTTTAAACTCTTTATTTGTTTTGGTCCAGAGACCGACTTATTGGACTGGGTCAGTGGAGTTACGTGGGGGGATGGTGTTAGAGCAAACAAAGACCATTTCGATCAGGACAAAGAATGCTAAATAAGAGATTTGGATAAAACCTCCTTAGCCTTAGCAGGCCTAACTAGACCATGCTTCATCAAAGATATCCATTCAGAACGACCAAGTTCAACTGGTCCTAGGCCTGAGTCCAAAAACAAAAAACTTGTCCTGGGCCTCAAAGTGACTTTATATGAGTAACCATATTTGGATTTACAACTAGCATAACGATCCATGTTCAGCCCATCATTGAAATAATTTAGTGAGAACCTTTACAAAAGGGACAACGTAGAAATTGTGTGTTTGGACGAGGATTTTAAGATAGAAAGGAATGAAAAGAAAAGGTAGTTAGCCTATATTCCTTATTTATCTTGATCTTTGAGATATCATCATTTTCTGAATCACTGTCGTGTAGAAGTTGCAGAGCAATTTTTAACAGTGTGATATTTGCTGTATATAATGTGAGTTTGACAGATATACAATAAGCAATTATTGGGTTATGTACAATTGCTTGGATTATAGCCCAAAGCCTTATGGTTCAATAATGGTTGTCTTATTACTTTATAATTCCTTATAGCTAGATTGTCATTGAAGAATTATCTGAATCTGTGATTGCACTGGTTATGTAACTGTAGCAATAGTTAATCTTAATCACCTGTTATATTTGATGAAAGTTCTGAGCCAAGGGCTCATTAGCTTGATGAAGGGAATTAGCTATTAGATAATTTTGAAATGTTTAGATGGCCTCCGGTTTGTGTTAATTGATTGAAAGGCTGAGTTTCATGTATCTCTACAATAAAACTGGTATAATGTAATATGAGTTTATACAGATCGGTTGCTTGATTTTAGATTCATTTTTATGGGTATGCAAATAATTACTTGATTTATATTTCGTTTCTTTTCGATCTTTTTGTTTTGAATAGGGAACTTAAAAATTTATGCTCTCTTCAATTCACTGTTTTCTCTGCGCCGAATTGTGCATTCCTTTGACAACCAAGGAGTGCATCCTCAGGGGAGTGCAATATTGGTTCCAAATTATGGAAATAAAATTTTGCCTTTCCATTATGTTTTTCTATTGTGAGAGCATAAAGTAAAATAAAGTTACTCTTTTTTAGTAGTAAAATAAAGTTACTTTACTCGACACAAATTAGTATCAAGTTCATGCTATCGGTTGATATCTTTATGAATTTTCTGCTTAGTGTTGATATTTTAATTTCCCCTTTAGTTTTCCATTTTATCATAGAGCTCATGAATGTCATGACATTTTGTTAGTGAAACTGATAGAAGAAAATACAGATGAACCCATAAAAAATTTACAATCTTCCTTTCTACATTGATAAGTATAGCCATTTACTTGGTGACATATAATTTCGCACTTTTTCTTTTTTTAAAAAAGTACAAAAGTGAACTTTTTTTTTTTTTTTGGTACATAAAAAGTGAACTATTTACATAAGCCCATATAAACATGGGAGAATCATCTAGGAAACGAAAAATATATCCTTTTGATCCTTCGAAAATCAGACCAATACTTTTTTGTTTTTTAAAAAATGGTGGAACCACTTGGTTTGTTTTTATAGCATAACCTAAATCATGTTATGTTGCATAAGAATTATAAATTCCTATAAAAATAGGGACTCCTATTATTGGAGAAGAAATTTTTTTCTTACATTAAAAATTAAAAATTTTACCATCTTTTTTTTTTTACTTTGGTGGGCCCCATAGTTTGTGGTTCTGCGGGAGAAAAAAGTCTCTCCTATTATATGAGAGTATAAAACCCATAAAATTAAACTTATTTAAAATAAATAGTTTGATGCACCACTAATTTAAAATTTTTAATGAGAATAATTCTTAGCTTGAATCTAATTTAATAGTGCACAAGCACCAATAATTAAACATGGTTGTCTGACCATTCAGGGATGCTGAATGGTATATTTTATTCTTTAGTATGTCCTTTAAGGGGTGTTTGGTACTGGAAATTTTTGTTTGAATTCTGGACGATTACTTGAAATATGGCTGAAATAAAAAGTGTCTGGGTATTTTACAAAAAAAGTGTTTGGTAGGACAAAATATTATTCAGAATATTAGTTAATTTTTTTGTAGAAATGTTTGGTTGAAAATAAAATATTGCTGGGAATATGAAGAAATTTGACAAAAGTACCCTTGTTGAGAATAACTTTTATTCAAGACAATTTGGCACATTATAACAAAAAAACAAATTGCAAAGAACGACCATCTTAGTGGGCCACCTAATGTTGAACCTTATCGATCTTCATCTTGCATTTCCTAAACCGTGATATTATCATTGTAGGATCATAGTGTTGGTAAGTTTTGTTTACAAACAGAGCCCAAAGTTCCTCTGCTGTCTTTCCTTTGCAAGTGATAAGATAGCGTCGGGGGATAATTTAGTCTGAAAAATGGAATGTGAAGAAACCAAGACCTGGGAATTGACAATTACCATGTTTTAAATGGTAATTCAATTCCACAATCAGTAGTGTAAAATGGTTGTCATGGAATAAACTATACCCAGTCAAGTTTTATCTTTTCCTTCTACCAATTGTGGAAATAAATCATTCCCACTTCCACTTTTCAAGACATCCAAGAAATTACTTCATACCAAACAGCCTCTTAAGTTATTTTTCAGCTGGGACATTTTTTTTTTGGAAATAAAAACTCTTTTTTTGGAAATATTTCAGCTGGGACATTTAGTTCAATGCATAGCTCCCGAAGAATTATTTTTATATTTTTTTAATGAGTTCCACGAGTCTTCCTTATGAACTCATTAATATTATTTCAAGGACATGATCTATGAGTCCTAGAGGAACTTAAAAGGAGTAAAAAATAAAAAATAAAAATTTAATGAGTTCCTCAAGGGAGTGTCAGCAAAACACATTGAAAAGTTAAAAAAATATAAAAACAATTACGCGTGGCTAGTTCGCAGAACTAAATGCCCGTTAGTGAAAAATACTTCTGAGGATGTAACAAGTGTGTAAGGAGTGGACCTCGGAGGGGCGAGCATCGGCCCCTTCCTAAATTTTAATTTTTTTATTATTTTATATATAAAATAATATATATTTTATAATAATAGATTATTAGTACTAATAGTTAACCTCTCCCTTAAAAATATTTAAAATAATTAATATTTCTTATTAGTTTTAATAATATTTATAATTTTAAAATTTTATTTTTGCCCCTATGATAAACAAATTCCGGATTTGCCGCTTACAAAATACATATAATAATGTCCCAAATGGTCAAATAGCCATTAAACATCTATTTGAAGTCTTAGAAAATAAAGTGCCAATTGGGCACCAGATCCGATTTTTTACGGCCGTTTTATCTTTCTTTTTTTATCATGAAAAATCATATTCTTATGTTACATGGTGTTTTGGGTAGAAATCATGGTGTTTTTATAATTTTAATTTATTTCAGGGTTATAATAGTCTTTATATTTATAATTTTTTAAGATTTCAATATCAAAACGACATCCTTTTATGAATAAATGCAGATAACTTATATGCATTAACTGGAGAAATATTTTTCCCATATTATATTACTCTTATTTTAAAATATGTGCTTATCTTTTTTCTAAAATTTGGTGAAATCCATTTTCTTTATCTCTTAATATGAGAAAGTTTATCTCGTACTACACGAGAGAAGTAATTTCTTTTTATCATATTGTTTCAAGTGTATAAACATTTATATGTACATAATTTACATCTTATTTGGACCGGAAAAATAGACTCATATTTCAGGCTTAATTATATTGTGTCCTACTAAATTCGAGGTTTTACTTTAATATCATATTATTTATTTATTTTAACAAAAGATGTCCAGTATCTATTTTAGAAAAAAGAAGGCAGCTAAAGTGAAAGCAAAGGGGCTTAAGTTAAAAAGAATTTAATTTTCATCCCGAATTTTTTTTTCCTTAATTTGAAAGCCATCTAATTAAAGATGAAAGATGATTTAACAAATTATATGATGAGCTAACAAGACTAAGATTAAATAAACAAGTAGTCCTTCTAGCTGTACCCAATTTTCATTTTGGTCTTTATTTTTTTCAATATCAATTTTTACAATTTCACTTAATGAGATTTTGTTCCTTCAAAAATGAATACATTAATAATTGAAAAATTATAAAGACTAATTCTTCCTAAGGATAAGGATAAATAATTTAATAAGAAAAAAATATGCTTTAAAAATAAAATAAATAAAAAATACAAAGAACAATATATATCTTTATGACAAGGATCAAAATCAAA